GGTTTGCCTTATGCAAAATTTATAACCATACCATTTTTAGTATGTCCTTTTTTTTTCTTTTCTGTTGGACTGTGGTTTTTTTTTTTTTATTTTAGAGATGATGGGGGGGAAGTCAGTGTCATTTAGAAGTTCTTTATTATGAACCCATCTGTGGCATTGTCTGGCAAAGAAGCCCTTCCAGGTTTTGAATTCAGAAGAGTATATGTGGAAGTGAGGGAAATACAGTTAGAAATTTTCAGTTGCTGTGTATTGGAATCCTCCTCTACTGAAGGCATTTAGTCAAAACTGTTCTTGCTGGTGAGTGTGAGTTTCCTTAGGAGCTGGTTCCATCTGTTTGTAAAACAGACTAGTTAAACGGGGTTTGAGTACGGATTTCTCCTATGTTTTTTTTTCTATGTGAAAACGCAGAGCTGATGCTGTAAATGTAGATGGGGGAAAAAGAAAAGAGGGGGGCTAACTGCAAAGGCACTATCTTTGTGTTGCATGTTGTCTTGGGTCAGTAATTGAAGAGAAAGCCAGTACAGTCTTTTAGTTTTGCTTCTAGGAAGGATTATGTTGTCTTTTCATTATAAACTTTTCCGGACAAGTAGCAATGTGGAGAGGTAGGAAATCGTCTCTTAATGCTAGTGGAAAAATTAAAAATGCTTAATCCCTTTCTACTTTGTTACATACTTGTAAAGTAGCCCAACTTGGTGTAGACGTGCCTCCATCTTCTGGTTCCCAAACCATATCCCGTTTACTCTCATCTCTTGCTAGAAAGTGTAACTTCACCCTGCAGTGTTTTGCATGAGAGCGCTACTTACGCTTCCCTTTGCCGAGGGTCAGGATTGCACACGCTTCCCAGAGCCAGAGATGGGTTCGTAGGCAAACAGGGATCAGGACGGGGATGTCAGGCGTGCTTGACTCTGCCCAGTCCACCTGTTGGGCCTTGCAAGGCAGAAGGCATTCCTGTGATGCTCACCCAGCCCTTCCGCAGGCAGCATGGGGAATGACGGTTCTCCATTTGTTCACTGACTGACCTTAGCGTACTGCTGGGGAAAGGGAGGGAATGTGTTTAAACACAAATCTATTGCTTTGGCAAAGCTGGGCTGGCAGTTTTGGCTGTAATGTATAGATCTTTCTCATTTATTATTCTGTCTTGTGAATCATATTAAAAATAAACGAGAACTAACTTTCCCTATGCATGCCAAACAAGGGAAAATTAGGTGACCCAATTATGTCCAGTTGCAGTCTGTTGGATGTAGCAGGACATGCTTGTAGCATTTAGTCTTCTAACACAGTTTAGTGAAGAATGCAGTTGTTTCGGACTAAATGTACACCTTTTGAAATGCACAGGTTAGTCTCTTTCGTGAGAAAGGAATTAAGTAATGGTATTGGAGAGTAAAGCCAGGTTTAGCTGCAAAATAGATAAGGTATTGGCAGCCCAAACTTCCCTGTTGGCTCTGCACATCTGCCTCACCCTTACCTGGAGAGACCAGTTCCAGGCTTGATAGAACAGTGCATTCTGTATGGCTTCATCAGCCTTTGGCATCTCTTCCTTTAGTGCTAGAGATTAAGGATGTGATTACCAGAAGCTCAGCTGAGTCCAGTAAGTATCAGTGAATGAGTAATGGGAGTTCTGAGCAGCTTTGACTACTCATTCTGGTCACTGAACAGCTTTGCAGTTGAGTTTTGTTAATGGTGTGAGCATTCTGTCAGTCCAGTGCATGGCAGTTCACGTTTTTCTATCTCCGTGTCTGGCTTTTTGTGCTGAAAATACAGATGAAACGTTATCTGTCAAGGAATGTTTCTCATACGCAATCTAATGCATCTGGCAAGAATAGGTAAATAAATTAATTGTGTTTTAACTATAAACACTAGGATCATTAGTGCTGTTGATTAAAGTTTGTTTATGATGTATGGGATGTGCAAAATTTGTTTTTATCTTTGCTGATCAGCTGACATTCAACTGCCAGCATCCTGCATTTGGCATGTTGCATCCTGGTGCTGGTTCAGTTTCCTTACGCTGTTGTAATTCAGTGACGTGTACTTTAAAAACATCTTTCTTTTCAATTAGTGTGCCTTACATTTTAGCTTAAAAACTTATTTAACCTAGCGATGTTTGGGGAAGCAGCATAATCTCTTCAGTGATAGAACCTAAAGCTTAGGCTGACCTTCTTCCATCTCCCATATGGATATCTCTGAACGTGTAAACATCACATCTCTGCTTTTATGATTTTCTGTATGTTAAAAAATACACTTTGCAGCAGTCAGACCCAAGTGTAAACCATTGTAAGGAGGTAGAATTATGTAGGACAGAAGGACAAAAATGGATGGAAACTGGAGTGTTTGTGCTTAGAAGAGCTTTCATTTCACTTCCATGGTAAAGGACCTTGCACGGTTTTATCTGCTCTTAAATCCGGGCTGGGAACGGAAGCACATTGGGGCAAGAAGAATTTTGATGGTACGTTTGAGAAATAGTTTGTGTTCTTGTGACACCTAAGTTGGAAAGCGTTGGGTTATTTTTTTTCTCATACTCGTGGGAGTACGTGGTATGAGTTAAGTTCAGGCAGAACCTCGTGAGGAGGAGAACATCTGAATGTTGCCCAGCCAGCTGTTTGTCGTACTTGTGTAAGGGTAGGGAGGCTTGTGTGAGGGTGAAGTGATACAGACCTGAGTCCTACAGCATTACTAGACTAAATAAAGCACATTCCACTTGTTTAGACAGAGACAAAAAGTTGGAACCCAGCATAGGCAAAATATACCGTGTTCTGACCTTGCAGGGGTAGAAGGTGGATATAGGTGAGCAGAGAAGCAAGATTCAGAGCTGGTAATTGCAACTGAGGCAAAAACTGAGGCAACCTGACCTAAAACATGCTTCAGGGATGGATCACTGAGGAGTACAGGTCTATTTGGACTCTTAAGATTGTGAGCAGAACTCGTGCTAGCAGTGATTCAGCTGTTCCTCAGCTGTCTTGCTAAACTCTTTCTCATATTTTGTACTTCTTCCCTCCCACCCCCAAAAGACACAGTTGCAAAATATTTTTAGATCTTATTTCTTAGGGTTCATTAGAGATGAATGTGGAAATGTGGATGTGTAGTTGAAAATGTTGGAAGTACGAGCTGCTGTATGAGTAGCTAGGAACAAGTTGGTAGGAGAACCTTTGTGTGGCTTTGGATTGATTGGTCACCAGGCCTTTCAGCCTTATTTTGTTCTCATACTTTAAAAAAGAAGTAATGAAATGTGATTTTTTTTTTTAAATTATTATTGTTTTTATTTACTGCAGTCATTTTTGGAGTAGTCTTCAGTAAAAGCTTTTGCTTGAGAGTGAAACTACGGTACAGGCCTTCTGCCTGGCCAAGAAAATGGCCTGTCTGTGCTGGCTGTTCTGGTTCTCAGCTGAATTTATTGGGTTTGTCAAACATTGGATCTTCCTGTTGTCATTGGTATTTGTTGTTAAATATAACAAATGTGTAGATTACTGTGATTTTTGTTTTGGGGGTGTGATTTTAATGGTAACGGTAATACACTGTTCCTGACAGTAGGGCAGAAGTGTTGTAATCCTTCCCTTCAGGAAGGAGTTCACACAGTTGTGTGGTGGTTATTTGCACTGTGGTGGTGGGGGGTGTCTTTGAAGTCCATAGAAATGAGAACAGCAATTAGGTACTGCAAACGGTCCTCCTGTCAGTGCTGTACATAATGTTTCTTGGGGACCGCGTTGCATATTTAGAGGGCAAGAACAGTGGGAGCTAATTAGTGAGATAGGGCTTAAATAATCCTTTCAGAGCAGGCAATTTTTCTCCTGGTGAGGTGAAATGATTCTTTTAAGCTATTGATAAAGCTCAGCTTTTAGTAAGAGGCACTGTAGAGAACCTGTGTGTGAAGTGCGCAGGTATTTTGGATTCAGCATTTCTCTCATGAACCTGGTGTACGTAAGAGTTGAGTTGAGCTACTCGTGTCTTGTTTCCCTGCTAGTAATGACCTCTGTGTAGGGGGTGGACAGCCATGAATGAAATTGAGTTAGTCTAGATCTGCCTTTGCTTGTGACCACTCTTGGGGAAAAAAAAAGAGTATGTTTGGTAGATTTAAGAAGGACTTTATTAACAAATGGTGCAGGTAAGTGTATATTCCCTAATCAGAAACTCTCAATTAAGTGCAGCAACTCATGCTATTAGTTACATGATTCTAGCTGCAATGCTGTCCTGGCTAGGCACTTGCTATTCCATTGCGCCATTACAGAGGACTTGAACTGTCCCTTCATTTGTGAGGTTGACCTGCTTAGAGGCTAATGTCATGAGTAAGAAGAGTTTTATAAATTCTTACCATGCCCTGATGCCCAGTGTCAGTTGTAAAGTATGTTCAAAAATATGTCACAAATCTAAGAAAAAAAGTCTGTATCTGTTAGCTGTTGGTATTGAACAGTGAGGTTGGTCTGAAAAATTCTGTGCACAGGGTTTCCAGCCCAGCTTTCAAGTGCCAGTTTTCATAATTGCTATACGCAGATAATATACATGTAGCTGAAAACAATAATTTTGGTCAAAGACAGCATGCTTTACGTTTCTCCAATTCTCCTCAAATCTTTGGTATGTTACGCCTGGTTTTTTGTAACTGGAAGAAATTACATGTCATGATGTTTATTGGTTTTTCCAGGGAGTTGGGGTTTATGCTGAAAGCTTCTTAAAGAATGCAAAGCTTGAATGCATTCCATTCTCAAGCGATTGGGAATGTCGTTGGTATGGTCAGGGTGTAAATCTTGCAGATGAAGAACAGCTTGAACTTTAACAAAACTTACTCTTTAAAAATAAAAAGGGTGTACAAACTCCAGACAAGTCTCCAGTTTAATGAATTTTGGCTAGACTGTCGTAAAGCAGACTGTGATTCAAAGCATATTGAATGAAAGGTCTTTCTGGTTTTCAGCTTTGTGGATTTCTGTAATGCTTTGCTCACTTGTTTTCACAGGGCAGTTTCCTCGGACTTTTTTCCAGCTGCGGTCATTAATTGGGACTGAACACGTGGGTTATCTCATCTTCTGCGCTTTTTAGAAGCAGGTACGTTGGCAGGGAAATCTGATGTTTTATTGGTTGGGGACGCTGACTTTATCCGTGTGCCAGACAGAATTGTAGGGTTCGGTTAGGGAATTCTGCTGAAGGAACATTTCATTATGCATAGCAGAGTAATGCAGCTTTCTTGAGCGAGTGAAGCTGGTAAGTACTTTGATAAGATTTTTCAGTCCTTCATTTGTAAAGCTGCATTGTGCTGTCTTCTGGGCACAGACTAGCTTTGTAAGGGGTTGTGGAAATTTACTGATGGAATATAAGCTGGGTGGTGTTGTCATCCTGAACCATGTCTTAGAAAAGCTGTATGTAACAGAACAGGTATCTTGAGGTTCTTCATGCTGGGGTCTCAGTACTGCCTTAAGACTTCTGTATTTCTACTTAAATGTCATCATGTAGGAAAGGCTGTGGAGGCTGAGGCTATCACCCAAAATAATTGTGCATTGTATGAAACGATGTTGCTCTGTAATCGTAATTTAATCTCTTCATACATACATTTTGATAGCTTTTGAGCGATTTTGAGTGCTCCCCCCCCTCCCAGTGTTGCTTGCTAACTCTGTGAAGCATTTGCTGAATGGGCAGGCTTTAGTATTCTTACCCTTCCTGTTAAATAGGTAGCTTTATGATAAATCCATCTTGCCTGAAGTTTATTTTAGAAGAACCAGGTTTAAATAGGAATTTCTATCACCCCTTTTTAAAGTTTGAAAAAATTAATAAACGGGAAAGCTATTATGATGGAAAACAATGAATAATTACATGTATAGATTACAAAACTCTTGTAATCTCTGATGTATAGAGGAATGCTGAAATGTGGTCTCCCTAGCTGGCATGGGGGCAGCCGTGGCATTTTCTTGGTGCTTGTGTATGGTGCCACCTATTGTTAGCTATCCCATATGATTTTTTTCCATTTTTAAACGGTAGATAGGTATGTTAACACATTTAAGGGTTTTGTTGTTGTGCTTTCTCTTTGGCTACTAGTACAACACCTTCTCTCTTTAAGTAACAGTAGTAAAAAAAATAAAAAAAGAGGAAAGATGTATTAGTGTAATATTAAAGAATGAGTCACAACCTTTCAGAATTATATGGAATCTTGATAAATATTTATTGTTTTATCAGTCTCTGGATATGCATAATGATGTCTTTTGCTCACTGTCTCATTTTGTTCATTGTCTTACTATTGACATCACTTGTTAGCACTCAGTAAATTGCACTGTAGAGTATACCCTTAGTAACATAATCCAATCAATTTATTTGAGCTGACCCTACACAAAAATCTGTGATTGTTTTATTCCCTCTTCAGAAAGCTGTGTTCTGATGATGGCAAAAAGCTGCCATCCCCTTGCACGTTTACAGGCTGCAGGTTGCCACGTGGAACCATCTGTAGCAAATGGGCATAATGCAAATTTTCCCACTGGAAACTTATTCTAGCAGGGCTGATACAGAGCTGTCTGCACTCTTGACTACTGTTACCTCCATGCTGAGTAATGTGGGTGGTGAAGCCTATCCCAGCAGCTGCTCCTGAAGTTTGCATTACTTCTGACTCACTCAGGAGGGCCCATGTTCCACACCCAGATTACTTTCCCTTACAAGTGGTAGAATGAAGTGAGGGGTGGGTAGTGACTACAGGAAAACATGAAGTGTTGGAACCTGCTGCGATGCTGTCTTCACTAAGCACGCCTCATGGAGTGTGAGTGCTCACTCATGGAGCGTGGTACTGAGGTTCGGGAAAGCACGGTTTTGGCTCAGTGTAGGACCAGACCCAGTTCTGGGAATGAAAACTGATTGAGCTGCTCTGGAGCCGTGTCTCAGAGCTGTGCGTGGTGAAAGAGTGGCTGGCTTACACCTCCCTCCACAAATGCCTCAGCCGGGGTTGCATTTCTCCAGCACACCGTGCTCCTGAGAGGTTAATGTAGTCTGTTACACTGCTGTGCCAGTGTATTATTTGAAGCACCATTATTTTCTAAATTTGAAGTTAAGGTTTTTACTATTGTTGACTTAATACATGCTCCCAGATATTTTTTAATAGCAGCTGAAGAATATGCCTGAGCATTTATTTTTGTCTTGGTAAACACCCTACTGTGGAACTTCAATAATTAACAGATACTCAAACAACAAAGCGTAGTCATGCTCTGCACTGTAGGGTTTAGTCGCACAGTCTGCTTATTCCATAGCGTAATAATTTTTATTAACGTCGAAAAGCAAAACTTTGGCTTTAAATGAAAAAAAAATTTTTTTTCTTGTAAGAAACAATGATAAACTCTACTCCTTCCTTGTTCCTCTTAGCTCTTCTTTCTCTCCAAAAACATTTATTAAATTTTATTGACTTCTACAAAAGTGCAGTGGCCTTTTTTTTTATGTGATATAAAAAGTGGGGGGAAAAAAAAAAAAAGGACTTAAGAGTTTAGATTTCATCCAGCTTTTGTTTAGCCATTGCAGGCTTGATGGCTGTGCATTCTGCATCCTGTTTTCATACTGGTTGTGCTTATTTATGTGAAAAACCCAAAACCACAGACTCTTCTGTCAGGGTGATTCTTTCATCTAGTCGTTAGATTTCTCCTTTTCTACTCACGCAGTAATGTACGAACAGATAATGAGCTAGTAGGGATGTGAACATCACATCAACTCTTTGAATGTTGGAGCTGCATATGTAAGGCCCAATTTAACTGTTAAAATTTTTAAGGATTTCTCAGATTAAGCATGTGATTCCTTACGTTCCCAGGCTATTTAGTGGTCTGTCCACTGGTGAAAAATAGGTAGTTTGGAAATGAAGCTTTTCCTGTTGTTATACCCCATTACCTATTTTAATTTGTCTTTTTCTGATCTTCTATCTTCAGAAAATCCAGGAGCTGGCAGGAGGAGGGGAATGAACCGTGAGGGCGTCCCCGGAAAGAGTCCGGAGGAGATGTATATTCAGCAGAAAGTCAGAGTCCTACTCATGCTGAGGAAGATGGGATCAAATGTAAGATGCACTGTCATAGTCCGTATTTTGTGGCTTTCCAGACAATTTTGTAGTAAGTGGGATAGTGCTTAGTGCGATGGGTGGGTGGTCTGGTTTTATGGCTGAATTGTTTTAGCCATCACTGATAGAACAATTATCTGCAGTTAAACACAATTGATTTTTGCTTAAATATTGAGGCTTGTGACACCTGAAACTAAATTTGAGCATCTGATCATTTTCTATATTTAGTAAAGTTTCTCATTACTGGAAAGATGGCAAAATAAAGCGACTGCTTTAAGGCATTTTTGCATCTCTCCATGAATGCATGATCTACCAGTTTGCTGCCTTGTCCTTGCTGACAGCTGTGGTTGGCCAAATAACAGTTGATTAAACTGTTCAGAGCAGAATAGAAGCAACTGTGACATTTATTATTGGGTGGTATCTTCAGTCTTTCTTCATTTTCCTTCTTGCTGACCGACTCTTTGTACCTCTCCAGCTGACTGCTAGTGAAGAGGAGTTCTTGCGCACGTACGCGGGTGTAGTGAATAGCCAACTTAGCCAGCTCCCTCAACACTCCATTGATCAGGGTGAGTACTGGATTTGTTTGCCTTGTGTTTATTTAACCTGTGAAAACAGTCTGAAAATACCTAATTGAGGTTCCTATACCTCTGTAATAATATGCCACTTAATCTCATCCTGCAATCTGGGATATGTGAGTCATTGCCTGCTGTAATCTTTGGAAGAGAACTAGAGCGTGCTGTTCAACAGGTGGGTTTCTTTTAACAGGGGAAGTCAGTCTTGGCTGTACCCGAGATCTGTTAGGATCAAGAGCATTGAGAAATAACCTATTCTCCAGTATAACTCAAAACATTGATGGCCAAAGCCCTGTGAACTAAATGTAGCTTCCTACCCGATGTAATACATTAAATAGAAATAAATTTTAACCTGATTGATTGTTTTGCTGTAGGTGGAGTTAAATTCAGGTATAGGTCCCTCTAGTTCTGAGTGTGTCTTACTGCAGTCAGTATCGATCCTCTGCATAAGGTGATTTTCATCTAAATTTTTCTGTTTATTCTTAAGCGGGACATCTCTGCTTAAAAAGGAACAGGAGTGGAAGTGGCAAGCACTTTTTTGTTCTCTTCAAACTTGGACTTTCAGAACAAAATAAGATGTAAAGTAGATACAGGTTTGTAAGGTACAAAAGCAGTGTGTTATGCCCATGATAATTTAGTTACTATGGCTGTAGTTGTTTGATAACACTTTTCTCACAAATAAAATGGAATCAGGTAAGAAAATCTTTTGTTTTTCACATTTCCATTAATATGGAAGTGCCATGTTGTTATTTCAGCAGAGTAAGGGGGAAAGTTTAGCAATAGGAGGAATTTGTTTCCTGTTGCATTTTTTAATTTGCACGATGTAATTAATTCCTGGATAGGGGTAGTAGACATGAAATAAGTTTACAAATCTGCTTTGGTTTGTTTAGATTCCAATTAAGGGGATAAAGTATGTGCTGCTTTTGTGAATTCTTTGCAGAAGTCTTGGTAAACAATTGTGTGGCGCTACTCTGAATTTACTAATCTCTTCTGAAGCTTGATGTTTCTCTCTGAATTTTTTTTTTCCTCCCTTTCATAGGCCTCGTGCCAGATCACATTCATAATGTAGAATTTTGCATTGAAGGGAAATTTTAAGACTCGTATGCCAGAAAGAACAGAGTTAAGCAGAAATTTAATATAGATCTAAGACATTTAGAAAACCATTAGAAACACAACCTGCACAAACTTGCTCTTCAGTTTCAAGCCTGTGTGTTCATTCCTCACATAGCTGGGGGATTGATGGAGGTAGATACGCCTGTATATTTTGGCTCAGAATTCTGAAACTTTTCTGCCAGTTTAAAGTGAAAATTTGCTGGTTTCCATCAAAACCTGAGACAGACATGTTCAGTTAAGAAAGACTGTCTTACTTGCAGTTGGCACTTTTCAGCATTATTGCTAAAGCAGATACATGGCTCACAACAAAAATACATGCTGAACTACCTGCCCTTTGGCAAAGAAGAGGTACTAAAAACAGAAGTCCAGCCAGAGGACAGAGCTACTTTGTACAGCTGTGCTCCTGCACAGCTTGATCTTACTTTCTTGTCTAAACTGTCTGGTTTTATTATCTGTAAAATTACATTTTCTCACTTTGCAGAGGGCTCTGGAGACTCAAAAAAAAGAATTTTGACATGAATTTAAAAAGTAATCAAAAGACACCAACTGTTACTTCCTCTGCTTCTAGACTCACTTATCTTGCAGTGCAGGAAATATGAGCTTCATACGTTGTTCAAAAAGTTGCCTTTGTCCCATATTTGAACAGATGCTGACTGATTGTCAGCATTTTCTTAAAGTCCTTGAAGACCCTTAAAACATTGTCCCTCGGGAAGTGAAGTCCACCCTGCTGAGGCTTGCTTTGATCTCATCTGAGACACTGCTCCCTTTCCTGGGAGATCTACCTTTGACCTTCCCAAATTATAATTAAGGTGGTGGCCTGACCATTAAGGTTTTTCTTGGTAGGGGGTAAAAAGAAGAAAGAAAATAGTTAAATATTTAGTGACGTGGGAAAGGGTGTTGCACTTTGCATTTTGAGATAGGCCATCTCTCCAAATTTAGTGAATAGCATGAAGAACAAAGGAAAGTGAGGAAACCTAGCCAAATAGTTTTTCCGTTGGAGATGGATGAAGCTGTAGGATGCTTCATATGTATAGACATAAGCAACTATACATAAGTTCATATGTACAGACAAAAGCAACTGTAATTTATTGCCCAGGACTTTGATTTCCTTAGAAATCTCTTTGGATTCCTAGCAGTCAGTTATGGTAACGTTGTTCTTAGGTGTGTGGCTCACGTGGCAGCAGTCATTGCCATCTGTCCCTACCTTTTGCTATATCCTGGTGTTGATGAAAGGGGAAAGGGTCAATTATCAGAGTATTGGAATAGAGAACACAAACTGTGCAAATGTCCAGTTGCCCATTTTAAGGGAGATTCCATCCCCACTAGATGGCAGTGTCTTGTGCTGAAAAACCCTGGCCAAGTCCACACACGTTTTGAGGGTACTCACATGCTTTGTGTCCTTCAAGACTGCTGAAAGGAATTTTCGTCTCTATTTTTCTGCTGTTTTCATTGAATCTCCTCTGGAGGATATATTTGTTTTTCCTCTATGCAACTTGCACAACAACTAAAAGGTGTGTTATTTAAGGAATATTTTACAAAGAGTTAGTATGCCAGCAGATTTCACAATCTTTTCTTCCACTAGCAGGGCAGATTGCTCCCAGCCTGACTTGCCCCAGACCTATCTTTAGAGTCATTTTCCTCCAGCAGGCACACAAAAGGCAGAAAGCTGTTTTCATACCCCCGTTTTGTTCCAAAAAAGGGAATGACATTTTTGGCCTTGGCACTCTGAAAGCTTTGTTGTAGGCCTGCAGATTTTTGTGTGTCACTTAAAAATGCTGCAGCCTGACTCTGGAATTACAGGAAGGTCGTTTTCTTTCTTTTTTGTTTTTTTTAGAAGAGTATAGAGGATGGATAGGGTAGAATTTTTTAAGCGTATTGCAGCCTCTATTCCAATTTTTATGCTTTTCTCAGTTGTGCATCCATGAAATGCTGTCTTAGGGCAGCTGGCTGGTGGCCTTGGGGTAATCACCTGGGGTGGGACCGCTGAGCTTGGCACTCTGTGCTGCTCACCCCGGTGGTTTCGATAAAGATCTGCCAACTTCGCTGAGCCTATTTGTTTGACCACAGGGAGTCACTGCAACCTATGTGTCCAGTGCCTATCTGCAGCGATGTGACAGGGCAGTGAAGAAAGAAGTTTGTCCTTGTCCCAGCTGAATTCAAGTGCTTGTGCCATAAACCCTCAGAGCCGCTGTTAATAACAGGACCAATGATGTTTGAAGTTCCTCCATGATACTCTGCTGTCTTAGGGTTTAGCAATAGAAGTTAATTGCTAAATTTGGTCAAGAAGCTTCTTAGCATACCTTTGTAATTTTTAACTGAGCCTGAAGTCTGACTCCCCTTCAGTTGGTGCTTCTTTTCTATAAAAAGAGGAGAAATTAAACTCTTTATTTCCCATCTTGCAAACTCCCCTTCAGTTGGTGCTTCTTTTTATAGAAAGAGGAGAAATTAAACTCTTATCTCTTTATTTCCCATCTTGCACAAGGAATGAATCAGTTCAGGTGTACAAAAATCAGTGTTTTAGGATTGTTTACAGGTCTCCTTTTACAGTTGAACTGTACACTTGGAACATCTTCACTCTTGAAGCAGCTGTGCTGTGTACTGTTAAAGCGCATCTTGTTTTCCTGACAGGAAGCTCCAAGCGATTCTGATTGCGTTAGTGAAGAACTTTGTGTAAATCAGCTAATAAGGATGTATGTCCAGGGCTCTCCAATGTCCTGGAGCACACATCACATGAAAATGAGTGTAAATCTTTCTAGCGTGTGTTCCAAGCTGTTTACATTCACAGCCACAACATATATTCGAGCAACAGATCTGTGAAGGGATCTTGAATGACCAGGACATGTACCCCAGTGTTAGTCTCTCTTTTTTTTTTTTTTTCCTTTTAATTCCAGCTCTGTTTACACTTTCTTTTCAGCATATTCTCGGGAAGGACTTGGTACCTCAGTGTGGTGACTCTGATAAGCTTTTCCAGAGGTGCTGTTTCTCCAGCATGGGCTACAGTCCACCAAGAGCAAGGAATGTTTAGGCAATTCAGGTGCCTGGATTCTGTTTATAGCTTGGGATTTTAGCTGGTTTTATTAATACTTTGGACTGTTCACACATTCTCTTCTTCAGCTGATCCAGGCAGTTGTGTTGTATCCATGCCAGTTATGAGGCTTATCTGATGTATTAAATGTTTATCCATTGAACTGCTAGCAGCGGGGATGAGATCTCAGTAACCCAGGAAAGCCTGAACAACAAGTTATAAAACTCTTAGATGAAGTATTTAATTCTTAAATTTCGTATTAAGAGACTGTTAATCTCATGCTCACGTTTTTGAAAACCACTTTATTTTTCCATCATTGCTGCAATGTTAACACCTCTATGAAAGTGCAAAATAGAGAGTGCCTTTTAGCTGACATCTGTGGGCTTTGTTGCTTTGTTCTTATGGCTCCAAGCATAACCGAGGAACCCAAAGGCATCTCTGTTCAAGCAGTGTGTATGCTAGGATGTGATCGTGAGCTGTTTTGAGACGCTAAGATAATAGTTGTCTTCCCTGCATTGCAGCAAGAACTAACGCAGCGCAGACTCATTAGGTTTCTTGAGCTGGAAATGATAAAATTAAGGCTTTCTCATATTTTTAATACAAGCGAAATGCCTCTCAAGAAGTTGCATGCACAGAAGCATCTCCTGTATTTTAAAAAAAACCCCATATTTCCTGTTTCCCAGTTATTTACATTTCTAAATGGTAGGCTAGCACTTGGCTTTCCTAAATCGCTGCTCTGGCAAATAAATGGAAGCTGTGCAGCTAGTAGGCATGATATTTGAATTATACTAAGACCTTGGTGATTACAGCTCTGATGTTCCTATAGCAACAGGAGTGTCGTGCTGGTTCTTGAAGA